TTTTAATTAATTAATTAACTTTAATTTAATAGTAATATTAACTTAATTATAAAAGAATAGCTCTTTTAAGGGTAAGATACTTATACTTACTTAAAAGAAGAAAGCTATTAAGTAAAAAATTATTATAAGTACCTTTATTTTACTTTAACTTAGTATTATATTAATATTTATATAGATTAATACTTAACGTTAAATTTTATACTTACCTTATATAGCTTAAATTACCTTTAATATAAAGAAAAGCTAAGCTTATCTTTATTATATTATCTTTAATAAAAAACATTTTATACTTTAGCTTTAACCTAGCTTTATTAACTTTTATAAAATCTAATACTATGATATATTATGTAGAGGAATTCGGCCACATATCGTAGCTTAATTTAGCTAGTAACGTGGCCTCTAGTCGCGTGCCGTAACACGTGATATGTCACGTATTATATAATTATATAACTAGCTTTTTGAAGCCTTTATAGAAAAATAGAACCTTAACCTTCTTAGCTCTTAATTCAGAGCATTAATAAAAAAACTACACTACATATAGTTTTTTAGTGTAGTTTATAGTGTAGTATAGCTTTATAGTTTTTAGTGTAATTTAACTATACTATAAAGCTTAAGTAAGTAAAAGAGTATATTATAAGCTTAAGTTATTAGCTTAAGCTTAAGTTAAACTTAATATAAAGGTAACTTAAACTTAACTTAAATAATTTATAGGTTAAATAAGAATATAAAGAGAGAGTAAAAATAGAGAAACCTTTCTTTTCCTTTCTCTTTCTTCTTAAGTTTATTCTTACTTTTTAAAAACGTATACTTATAATAGTATAATATAGCTAGTTCTTAATAGATATATTTGGAACTTTTAATAAATCCACTAATACTTCTAGCCTATACTAAAGAGTTTGCTATTTTTTCTTGTACTACTTCGCTAGAATTAAGCTTTATAAAGCTTATATAAAGGTAAATCGTTATTATATATAGACCTCTAAATGTATTGTATTTTTTGTAGTTTTTACTATACTATATTATATTATATTATATTATAATATATTATAATACATTATAAGATAAGAATACCTATAAATGTATTATAAGGGTATAAATTAGGTTAATTATATAATTAATTAAGCGATATAATAATAGTTCTCTTATCTTTTTATCTTTAAAAACGTTAATATATTTTTATAATACTAGTAGTAAAAGCGTTACTTTTAAAAAGGGTTTAATACTATTTTCTTATAGTAATACTATCTCTTTTACTTTAAATATAGCGAAAACGTATACGTGATTTTACGCTGCCCTTTTAAACTTATATATTAAGATTACCTTATATTCGCTCTTCTTTATATTATATTACTATTATTATTAGAGCTCTTACAAATATAGTAAATATAAGTGTATTGTGTATTATATTTTATATTATATTGTATTTTCGTGTATTATATTTAAATACATTACATTACATTACTAAAATACCTATAAATATATTATAAGTTAAAAAGACCCTTATTTTCTTAACTTAGAATTATAAGGCTAATTATAAGGGTTATAAGGGAAAATTTTATATCATTAAAAAGAGCTAAATTACCTCTTTAAAATGTCCCACTTTTCATTACTATAGGCTATTATTTTAAAAAGTTATAAGCAATTAAAAATTCGCCCCGCTTTACTTACTTTTTATTTTAAGACATAACTTTAAAGCTTAATATCTCGCTTAATACCTACATTTTAAGGTTAATTTTTAAAGATTTGTAATCACGTTATTTTTAGCTTAATTTGTAATATCTAATATGCTTATATAAGTATTATTTATAATATTAGATATTTTATAGCCTTATAATACATTTATAGGTATTCTAATCTTGTAATGTATTGTAATATATTACATTACAAT